TCAGCAGTCATCCTGACATTTTTCTTGACACTGGACTCAGATGATGCTGGAGGAAGGAGTGAGGCTGGTGACTTTACACAGCACTGCCTCACTTAAATCTAATTCACCTGCAAGTCAAGACATCACCCTCCTGATGTCGTCGGTCCTCTTCTAGAATGAAGGACGACCAACAAAAAAATATTAAGCACCACCCAGGTGCTTCCCTGGCTACAACCCTGGGGATTGATTCCTTTATATAACCTGGGGCTGGCCTTTTGAGCATGCCCAGTTAGGGTAACACAGAGCCCGCCACCCTGGTTTACATTTGCCTGCTCAAATACATGTCGTGGTTCATCCGAGGCCTCCCATGATGAGATCCCAACAAACCTTTTAAGGCTCATGTCCCATTACTTCCTTGCACTGAACCTACGCTCTGGCCACACTGGACTCCTTACTGTTTTCTGGATACCTTTTCCCCTCAATATCTTCTCCTCACATCTTTTCCAGTTGAAATCTCATTTCATATATTCAAATGTTCCTCTATGAAGCCTTCCCTGATCCCTCCCCAGCAGTCCAGCCTTCATACCACTGTCACAGAACTAACCTTGCTTTTGCATTGATTTGATTATGTCATTCCTTCGCTCAAAAAAAATCTTTTTTTTTTTTTGCTTAGGCAATGGGGTTAAATGACTTGCCCAGGGTCACACAGCTAGTGTCAAGTGTCTCAGGCTAGATTTGAACTCAGGTCCTCCCAACCCCAAGGCCAGAGCTCAATCCACTGCACCACCTAGCTGCTCCTAAAAGAAAAATCTTTACTGGCTTCATTGCCTATGGATTAAATTTCAGACTCCTTTTATTGTCAAAGCCATCTGCAATTTGGCATCACCCAATTCCAGTCTTATTGTGTATTAGTCCCTTCCACTCTAACCCAACTAGACCATTCTCTGTGCTGTCTTCCCACTTCTTCGCTCTTGTTCATGATGTTCTGATGCTTGGAATGCCTGTCTTCACCCCACTTTTCGCCTCATTTAAAGCCCATCTCTACGCTACATGAAGTCAGAAGCGTAAAAGTTACTAACGCTGTTAATCAAAGAAAACTTCTGGGAAGAGGACAGGCCAGTCCTTGAGAAATAAGCATTTATCAAGAGCCTACTAGGTGGCAGATGCAGCCGATGCAGGGCTAAGCCCTGGGGCAGACAAAAGATAGCCCCTGTTCTCAAGGAGCTTGCAATATAATTGGGGGGAGGGGCAGGGAGAGAACAACATGAAAACATGGTGTACAAACAAAATATATACAGGTTAAGTTGGAGAAAACCAACAAAAGTAAAAGACTAGCATGAAGGGGGATCTAGAAAGGCTTCCTGCAGAAGGTGGGATTTTTATCTGGGATCTGAAAGAAGCCAGGAACTCCATCTTACAAGGGCTGTTCCCCAAACCTGGAATTCTCCTTCTCCTCATCCAGGATTCCCAGTCCAGGGAATGACTCCAAAGTCCTGACTGGGAACAAAATAAGATTTTACAGTATAGGTGTTACCAGAGGTAGCTTCAGGGGCCTAGAAGAGTGTTGGAACTAGAGTCAGCATGACTTGGGTTCTTCAGACACCGTGACTTTGGGTAAGTAAGTCATCTCTGGCTTGTCTCCTCATCTGTAAAATGGGACTAATGATAGCTATAGCATCTACTTCACAGGCTTATAGTGAGGCTTATGAAATAAAGCATTACCTTACTTGAGTTTGCCTTGCAAACCGTTTGCAAAGTTGGAATCTCCTAAATTGGAATCCCCTCAATTTACTTTGCAAAACCACTATATAAGTGAGCTCTTATAAAGCACTTACATCCACAGTTACAATATCAGGCAGAATAAGGAAAGCAAGCTAATAAGCATTTATATAGCACCTATTATCTGCCAGGCTCTTTACAAATATTATCTCATTTCAATTTCACAATAACCCTCAGTGGTAGGTGCTATTATTACAGCAGACCTGACTTGCCCAAGGTCACACAAGTGTCTGAGGCTGGATTTGAACCCTGACTGCGGCCCTCCCGCACCATTTAGCTGGCTCTAATATAATAAGACTATGATAAATAAGTTCCATGAGGGAGGGAGAAGTAAATGGTAATGTATAATAGGGTGTGTAAAGGACCTCACAACAACCCAGTGAGGCAGGTAGTTTAGAAGTGAAGAAAACAAGGCACAGAGAGGTAAGGTGACCTGCCCTGACTCACACAGCCAGGAAGTCACAGAGGTAGAATTCGAACCCAGATCTAAATCCAATGCCCTTTTCACTATTCCACAGCTACTCTGGGGAGCTGGATCTCTATGCGCTGGAATGGCCCGGGGGCTGCACTTTAAGGAGTGGGGACTTTAAGCCTGGAAAGACGGGAGATTTCTGCTAGCTAGGGATCCTGCGGAAGCCTCGCTTCCTCTAGGAAGTCTGCCTGGATTTGGCAAAGGAGCAGCAGCCGCAGCCGCCGCCGCCGCCACCATCATCAGCATCACCACCACCACCAC